TGGGGGAGCATATTTGGCCGGCTCTGGCTGGTCCTATGAAGAGGGAAACCAGGGTAAAGATGAGGGTAGCTGGCAGTTATCGATCAAGCCCTGGCCATCGCGGGCCCTAGCTGCAGAGTTGTGGTTTGATTTCCTGGGCTGGTTGCTGCAGGGTGTGGGACACAGGTCTGTCTGACCTCTGCTCTGCCCATTTGTATATTCAGTTTCTCAGGGCACTTCGGGTATGGCCAGAGCTGGGTCCTTGCTTTCCAGCCGTGGGGGGCGGAGCCCCTGCACCCAGACCAGCCTGGTTCAGTGGTCGTGCAGGTGTGTGCTAGGTGAGGGGCAGGGTTTGGCCCCCATGCAGAGAAGAAGCGTCAGCACGCACAAGCTGAGAGGGCAGGGGCATCATGAGGGCCTGGTCAGTGAGCCCTCGGGTGGAGCTCAGTGGCCTGGGGAGTCAGGCTCCGGCTGTTGAGAAAGATCCTTGAGTGTGACCCTGGGGCTACAGCAAATGATGGGTGTTTACCAGGCAGGCCTTATTTATTTAGGGCCCAGAATAAAGTCGTGGGGCGGAAACATGATGTGAACCTAGTCGGCATCAGGCTCCCACTGTGCCCTGTGCCAGTCTGCATGCGGGCTCCAGCTTCCAGAGCATTCCTTACTCCCATATAACAGCTAAGGGAACAGACCCAGAGAAGTGAATGACTGGCCTGAGGTTGTATGTGGATTCCCTGGCATTCCCCCTCCAGGGCTGCTCCCCTGGAACAGAAAGGCCAGATTCTTCCCCAGGCCCTTTGGGCCGTGGCCCCAGCTTCCCCTCAGACTCTCCTCCCCCATGTGCCTGCTGCCTGGCTCTTGGCCACTTGGCATACACCAGGCGCTTCCCACCTTGGCCTTTGCGCAGGGCCGATCTCTGCCTGGAGCACTGCTTTCCTGACTCTGCTCAGCCCCCATCCAGCGCTTCCCCGAAGCTCCCATCCGGGGAGGCTGGCCCAGCTCCTGGGGCGGCTGCCTGTCCTCCATGAGCCGCACCACGCTGATGACCGGGTCATTGTGGAGGCCCCAAGGCCTGGTGCTGCTACAAATAGCATTGTCCCGGAATACGTTTCACAAAAGCTCATTTATGGGCACTCTGAGGATTTTCCCTCAGTGAAAAACAAACTGAGTTTAAAATTTTTTAATGAAAACTACTTTATTGGAAAGCAGGAACATTGTACGATTGGAAAGGAGGTTGACTTCTGTATTTGGTTAAGCATCACCCTGGCTTGGAAGGTAAGTCATGCTGTCTGTGAGTCTTGGCTTCAGAAGGATCCAGCGCCTTCTGTTTCATCCAGGAGATGCTCCCGCAACTCAAGTGACGCAGGTCCTGGCCAGCTGGGTGCCCGTCGGTAGTCGGCCAAGGGGGCAGGTACATCCGGGAACACTGACACAGGCCCCCTGGGTGGCCGGAGGGGAGCCTGCCGTCGTGTGTCTGTCACTGTCATCACAAATCCCTGAGCCCTGTGAGCAGGGCTGCTCCTTGGACTGTCGGAGCTGTCGGCCTCTCCAGGCCGCCACCCTCCAGTTTGCTCTGCCTGCACCATGTGGCCCGCCCTGGCCCGCTGTCTGCCATCAGGCACACAAAGCAGGAGAGCTGGACCTGCGTGCTACAGGAACTTGCTTCCACACGCCTGCTCTCACCCCCTCCCCCCATGCCACCTGTGCTGGGCCGGAGCCTGCCCAAGTTCAGGTGACCTCCTTCCTGCTCACCAGGAGGTCTGTCCACCACTCACTTCTCTGTTCCGTGCCCCGTTGCCCCAGCCCTGGTGACAAGAGTCTAATCCTGTTGGCCCGCCCTTCGGTGAAGGGAGAAGAGAAGCATCCTTTATCATGGTGCAGCGGTGGGTGGCAGACAGGCATGGCAGAGTTGGGCGGCGCATCCCTCAGGCAGGAGCAGGGCAGGGACGGGGGCTGGTGGGGGCAGGCAGGGCCGCAGCCCCTGTATGCAGCCTGAGTCCGCGTTCATGCAGTCTGTGAATGAGGGGAAGAAACCAGGCTTGGAGACTCACCTCACCCAGGGCACGCCTGACCTCTCCCTGAGGCGAGAAGTCTGGCATCGGTCTAGACATGCCCCTTCTGCTCACTGATCACTTCACAGTCCAGATGGTCTAGGAGCTCTTTTGCCTTCTGATGTTCCCCCTGACCCCATCTCCTCGTCACACTGCGGTGCTCCCCCAGGCCAGGCCCTCATCCTTTCTCCGTGGACCGTGAGCCAAGCTGCCCTGGGGACCCGGTTCCTGATCATGCCTGAGCCATGCCCCTGGCAGACCCCCACAGATGAGGGGCTCACTTTCCTCTGCCTGAGTCCATGTCTATTTCGCTTTGCCTCCTCCAGGAAGCCCTAGGGCTGGGTTGGATCCTTCCCCTGTGCTCTGCGTATTCCGAAACTGTTGCCCTGTGTGGTCATGACAGGTTTATGGGCCTCTTGAGTCTCAGCTGTGAGCGTCTGGGGACACTGCTGAGCCTGGAGGTGCGCGTGGGAGGTGCTTCGTGAGTGCTGGGTCACAGAGGGCGTTCAGAGTGAATGTACTTGCTGCGTGCAGAGTGGCTGAGGGCGGGTGAGGAGACCAGTTTCAGAGGAGCAAAGCCTTCCAGGTACCGTCTGTCTCCCGACTGGCGCTGGGAACCCTCTGTCTTCATGCCCTTTCTACTCTTCCTGGAGGAGCAGGGGGAGATAAGTCTGGATAAGAGATGTACTATCACCTGTGTCCATCTATCTGTTCATTTGTCTGTCCTTCCCTTCCTCCCCCTTCCTTCCTTCCTTCCATCCATCCATCCTTCTTTCATCCAGTATCTATTGAGCGTCTGCTCTGGACCAGGCACGCTGTCGCGTCCCAGAGACTAAAGATTGGGGGCCGACCAGAGCAGGACCCTGGGGCTTTGAGCTGTCAGTGTTCCATATTTCCTGCCTGTTCTTTGTGTCCCCTGGAGACGGTCAGGGAGAGTTGGGGACGGAGGATGGCCTGGGTGGGTGGGGTAGAGTACAGACGGTGCCCGACTGAACGGCCCCACATGCCATAGATTCGCTTTATGTCAGTTCAAGACAGTGAAAGATCAGAAATGTCTCCGGGGAGAAAAACAAGATCATTCATCCAATTTGAGAGGAAAATTCACATAGCAGGAAAGTCTGGCCTAACCTGTGTCCTCAGAACCAGAAGTAGGTGTACGAAGGGGAATCACTGAGATCTCTGTGAAGCTTCTCCAGACAGAATTCATCGTGTTTGTTCTCTCACTTCCCTTGTTCTCCAGACGGTTTCGTCCTTTCCGTGGCTCCTCTGATTTCTGGTCCATGGGAAGTCTCTGGCCCCCCTGCTCTGGGGCGCCAGGTGAGGGCTGGCTGTTGGGCGATTGAGGGTAGCAGTGGGGCAGAACCCAGAGGCCCCGAGCTGGGCCAGTGGCTCCAGATTCCTTGGAGAGTCCAACACAGCTTCCTGGGCCGGCCCTGGGGTTCTGCCTCCGTAGCTCTCAGCTAGAGCCGTCTCTGGCTGGCCTGCCTCGAGGGGCATGGCCTGTTATTGGTACCCACTTCCCAGGGGTCATGAAGGCGAACTGGCTCGGCCTGATCTGTAAAACTAAAAGCAGGTGTCCCTGTTGGAGCAGGCTACCTTGGCCCTTCAGGGTGTGTGAGGTGGCATGGCTGAAGTTTCTGGAAAGCACTCGCTGTGAGGAGGGAGAAGGCCCGGCTCCTTCCACCTTGCCCAGCACCACAAGCAGGGCTTGGGGGGTGGCACCAAAGCAGAGGCGTGACCCTAGGGGTCTGTGACCTGAGCCTCTCTGGCTTGTGCCCAGGATGGAGGAAGCAGGGACAGGGGCGCTTGGGACTTCCAGGCACGACCTTGCCACTGAGCCTCTGCTCTCCATCTCGTCCTCGAAATGTATAGGCCCAAGCCCATTGTCCTCACCCCATCCTGGATCTCCTCCCTGCTACGGGGACCATTCAAGGGGACAAGAGCACAGGACCGTGAGCGGGGCCTCGGCCCTGAGTGCATAGGTGTGCTCCGTCCTGGAGGTGGGACCCTGCAGCAGGTGCCTTTCCAGCTCCCGTAGCTTTTCCCATCTCAGCTGAGCCTGAGATTCTACTGGAAGTCTGCAGCCGGACCGTGGGAATGGTCGCCTCTGAGCACCCTGCCCTCCAGCACCCAGGGCCGCCTGCCGTTCTGTCCATCTGCCGCTGGTTGGTCGGTGCCATCGAGGAGGGCAGGGCTTCTGTGTGCAGTTTCCCGCATTGTGTTGCCAACAGGCGCTTCTGACCTCTGTCCAGCGGATCTGCCCGCCAGGCAGACAGGCACACCAGAAATCCTGTTTCCAGTAAAAAGCATATTTTCACTATTTGCGGGAACCTTATAATGGCTAATTTTGGCATCCACAGCAGGGATTGGATCGCCGTGTTAAAGTAAAACCAAGTTTGTTTATTTATTTGCAATGTGATTTATGTATGCAGACCTGCAGGGTTCGAGTCCGTAAAGGCTGCCATGTGCTCTGTGTCACCACCACCCGGGGCAGGAAAGGAAGCAGTCCCATGGCTCAGAAGCTTCCCTTGTGCCCGCTCCCAATTTCCCGAAGCACCATCTGGTCAAAGGCAGGACCTAGGCCAGTGGATGAATGAGACATCAAGGGACCTTGGTGGGGGTGACAGAGCCAGTGGGGCTCTTAGTAGCTAGAGAGGTTTCCTGAAGGAGGTAGGGTTCGCTCAGTGGGACTGAAGTGTTTGCTGGAGTGACGGAGGTTTCACTTCTCGAGGCTGCCGGCAGTCATCTGGTTCATTCAGACATTCCCCTGCTCCTCCCGCACACCCTGACAGGGGCACAGGGCTCAGCCGCTTCCGGTAGCAGGGTCTCACACCTCAGGGCGCCTGAAAGTTCCTTCTTCACACAAGCTCAAGCTCACCTCGCCTGTGTGGCTCTGACCAGGCCACCTGCACCGGCCGGCCGGGCTCTCATGAAAAGTCCTAACCTTGAGCTGTGTCTGTGATTCCATAGCTCTAAGAAGTCCAAGAAACGCCCCGAAGTGGCTGTGAAGCCTAAACCCTCACCCCGACTCACCATTTTTGATGAGGAGGTGGACCCTGATGAGGGGCTTTTCGGCCCAAGCATGAAGCTCTCCCCGCAGCGCCCCGCAGAGGACGTGCCCCTCCAGGACCGTAAGTAGGGCCTCCAAGGTGTTTCCTTCACTCTGGGTGTCTGCTCAGTGACCCAGCCAGCCTTTTGTAAGTGGTTTTGGACCTGCACATGTGAGCACGGTGGAAATCTTCTCCTTGTCCTGTTTCGACGTGGTACACACTCAGCTTATGGAGATTTTCTGCTGGAGAAATCTAGTCTTGCACTTTGTGTCCCCATAGCCTGGAACATTCCAGGGCTGTATGTTTATTCTGATCATCCCATAGAAGAGGAGGTGGCATCTTTGTCATTCCAGTGGCCAGATGTGAGCACCGTCTGGGAAGGAGATGCAACCACCCACGTGTGCCAGGACTCTGTATGATTTGGATTCTAATGAGAGATTTTGTGTGACCTGAATAAACCCCACTGGAGGGTCCTGTGCAGAGTCAGAAAGGGGAAAGCCAAGCAGCCTTGGGACTTCTATACTCGTCCCTGGGTCTGACCTTTCGTCACCCCACCTGGGTCCTCATTCAGGATGGACAAATGCTGTCCCCATTAATCCAGCCAGCACTTGGTGACCACCCACGGAGGGCCAGGCTCTGTGCTGAGCCTGAGAACACACTGATGAGACAGACACAGTCCTGGCCTCACGGCTCTGAGGACATGTCCTGACCATTTCAGCATCGCCTATGAGTGCTGTCCCTTGCCTTCTTCCTCTCCCCACCTGGGCCTCTTCCTCGGGTTCTCTGTGCTCAGCCTTGGCCCTTGCCCACCGTCTCCGGGCTGGGCCAGGAGGCTGGGCGAGGCTGTCTCCACCTGTACCCCCTTGGCCCCTGAGGACAGGCCAGGACATCCTCTGACCATTCTGCTCCTCCCTTCTCCACAGCCCTGAAGTTGTTTGAAGATCCTGACCTTGGCGGTGCCGTCCCTCTGGATGACCCCTTACTGCTGCCTGCCGCCCATGAGAGTGGAGGGCCCATGTCCCACGCGGAGCTGTTCAGGTACCACCTGTCCCTTGCGGTGCTTCTCCGCCAGCCCTGAGAGTAGCCTGGACAGAGCCAGGGACCTGTGCCTATGTGGGAGCATCTCCCAGCTTCAGCCTCCAAGGGAGGCCATCTTGGCCCCTTCAAGGCAGGAGCCTGTGGGTGGACGCTGACCAGGAGGCAGTGGTGGGGGCTGGGCTGGGGTGGGGGTGGGCCGCAGCCCAGCACAGCTCCGCAGGTTCCAGAAAGAATTTCATGAATACAAGTCTTTTCCTTTCCACACTCACACTTTCATAGTTTATGTGAAGAATAATTAAATTATATAATTGCAAAAGCAAGTATAATTGGCATAAGTGGGTTTGGGAACAGCTAAGATGGGTTCTTGGTAGCACACAGCCCTCCCGGAGGGGGGCAAAGTGCACATGTGCTGGACCGCGGCCAGTCCCGGCAGGGTCCCAGTGCGGGCTGGAGAGGGGAGTGTGAGGCATAGTCTGTTCCGCGGAGGTGGGTGGACAAGTGCCAGCGCCTGCTTTAGAGCGCTCGCCGTGGTCCGTGTGCTAGACTCCACACGCGGCCCGATTTCATCCTCATGACAGCCCCCCGCCTAGGCTTGGTCTCTGTTCTAGAGAACAGAGTGTGGGAGAGGTAACTGGCCCAAGGCCACAGCTCCCCCGATTGGAACCCAGGCCCCCGGCCTGTGTCCTGCCCTCCCCGCTCCTTCCAGGACTCTCGAAGCACTTAGAGGAGAGGAGGCTGGGAGATCTGCCTCCCGCCCCGGGCGGGCAGTGCTCCCCGGGCTTCGGCGTGTGCCCACTGCGTCCTCCGCGTGCTTGGTGCTGTGCGTCACCGTTGCGTCATCCGTGCCCCCAGAACGCGGCCTTGCTCAGCGGCGTGTGGGAGGCCGAGCTGTGTCTTTCCAGGAACGGTTCCGTGGTGCCTAGAGGCCGTCATCCACGCCCTCACTAGCAGCCTCGGCTTTAGGCAGCCCTGTCAGTGCCCGAGTCACAGCGAATGCGGTCTTGTCTTTGCATCTCCCCGTGGTCCCTGGCGTCTCTTCACTGTCATCTGTGTCCTTGCCCCGACCGCCCCGGCAGGCTGGGAGAAGCTGGGGTGGTGCTGTCTTGAGAGGAGAGACCGAGGCACGGGGAAGCAGACTCAGCCGTGAGGAGGGTGGCAGGGCCCCTGTGAGTGCCCCCTGCCCAGGGAGGCTCCGCCATCTCCAGGACTCAGTGCGTCCCAGGGAGGCCATTCCCCGGGACTTGGCTGGCACGGTGCCTCCTGAGTCTGTGACACCAGCGCCTCCCGACCCACATCCTTCAGAACTCCGGTGTTCCCTTCAAGGGGGTTCTGGGGCCGATGGCTGGGGCAATACCAGTGTTCAGCAGGACTCTGAGGGCATGAGGGGGAAGCAGCGTGGAGCACTGCACGGTCCCGTTGGTCTCGGGGACTCTTTCCCTTTGGCGTGCCTCTTGGCATCCTCCAGAGCCCTCTGGGACTCACTGGAGAATGGGTGTCCGCGGCCCTGCCTTCACTCTGCCACACAGCTGGTGATAAAGAATTCACGTACGGCGAGCAGGAGCCGGGTTTTATTCGCCTTTGTGCTGGCTCTGTGACTATCCAGGCAGCGATTGGGGTTCCTTATGATAAAAAAGCTTCCTGATCCTCATTCATTCACTGGTGCTGTCACGCGTCTGCTCATGCCATCATGGCCATCAGGGAGCCTGAAGCCCCCCGGAGCGCTGTGCCCAGCAGGTACTGGAGTCTGACAAGCCTCATTTCCCTCTTGCTGAGCAGCCAGGCCAGTGGGCGGTCTGTCCCCTGCAGGGACCTGGGGAGGGGGGTGGGACTGGGGTCTTTGGAGCTCCCCGCAGCTTCTCCGTGGGGGCCGGACCTTGCGTTAGTGGGACCCAATGCCAGCCGTGACTCAGGGCGCCTGGGTAGAAATAGAGCACGTGGAAAGGGGTGCCCCGCCGCCACCTGTACCCTGTGACTGCCTCCCCTCCCCCGCCACCTCAGCAGCTTCTGGTGAGTTCCCAGCAGCGTTTGCCCCAGCTGTATAAATCCTAGACGCTGACCCAAGCTGTTAGCTGCTGGTCTATTTCCCTATGGGCCCCTGCGTGTGGATAATTCGGTCCCCCCAAGCTTTCCCTGGGCTCCAGCTCCGGTGGAGGATGCAGGAGGAGCCAGCACCTGCCGTGGGGAGCTCAGGGAAGAGCTGCTGCTTGGGTGGGGGGGTGGGGCAGGAGCAGCCCATGCTGGGTTACACTTGTGGGGATTGCCGCAAGCCCAAGACAGCTACCTCTCTTCGGAGGCCTGGCTTGGGCTGGGCCCTCTTGGTCTGGACTGGAAGAACATCTCTGCCATCCGCAGAGGCTCTGACTTCTGCCTTTGGGGTCTCTGCCCCGCCGCAGGGGTGACCCGGAGCTCCTCTGGCAGCTGGTACTTGGCAGGCAGGGTGGTGCTGGGCACGCCACGCTCAAACAGGCCTTTTCCTAGGCCAGCCGATGTCTGAGCTGGATCCCATTGACAGATGGGGAGACTGAGGACCGGGGAAGGAGCATGATGAAGCAGACCCGAGGCCACTGGTGAAGGCGTAGTGGGAGAGAAACAGAGCTGCGCTCCGGGCTCGGTGCTGTGCTTCCGGGCCCACGGCAGCTCTGCAGCCCTTGCTGGGTGATGCCGCCGTTACCGTCTCACAGATGGGGACACCGGGGTCCTCTGCCTCCAGCACCTGAGCCCTTCTCCCCTGTCCCCATGCGGCCTACTGAGATGCCCTTAGACTTGCCCAGGTGTGGGCAGCACCGGTCCGGATGTCTCTGCTGGTCGCTGGTTTAGGAAGCATGTAAAGGGCCAGGAACCCTCTTTTAAGAATTCAAAAATTGGCCCTAGGATTTCAAAGGGAATTTTCCGTGCGACTCTGTGAAAGCCCCCAGGATAGTGTTACCAGACTCCCCCCTGCCCCCAACCCTGGGTCTCCTTCTGTCTCCTGGTTCCAGACCAAGTGGAGTTCCTCCGCCAGGAACTGGCAGCACGTGCTCCTCAGGCGAAGAGGGCAGAGCCAGGCTGTGGTCTGCTTTGCTCAACCGCCGTCCGGTACCTGGGGCAGGTCCTGTGTGACCGTCCCCCTGCTGCAGGCTTTAGTCCCACCGCACGGCGGGCTGTCAGGTCCGGGACCATGGCTCCACTCTCGGAGGGCTCTGTCTAGCACCCAGGTGGCCCACAGTGGGCGCCGTGGACAGGCAGCCCCACCCCACATGGTCAGATCCCCCCATTTAGTCTTTCTCCGGCTGAACTTGGTCCAGATGAGGGCTCAGCTTCTGAAGTCAGACGCCCTGGTCCTGACTCAGGCAGCATCACACGCGGTCATCTCGCAGGCAGCTTGGCCTGGGGCTTGAGCCTGCACATCGGCAGGGTGGACAGCAGCTGTACCCCCAGAGGGTTTGGAGATAAAACAAGATACTGTGTCTGGGGTGCTTGGCACGGAGCGGGAGCTCTGCATCCAGCAGCTGTTACTCTTACTTCTTGAGAGGTTGAAGGATAAGTCCCCTAAAGGGCCATCGTCTAGAGGGGGACCACGTGAAAAGCAGAGCCCTCCAGAGGCTGCCAAGGGGCCGGCTCTGCTCCCTCTGTGCTGTGGGGCTGTGGGGCGGGCGAAGCCTGCCCCCCAGTCCCTCCCTGGGGGCAGGATGGCGGAAAGGCCAGGTTGGGGCGCAGCCTGTCGTGCTCCCCAGAGTGGGGTGCCGTTGCCTCGGGGCCTTGCTCCCTTTGCAGGGGGGTCATATTCAGAGCTTCCCCTCTGGTTCCCTAGAGTTGAAGAGGACTTGGACCAGCTTCTGAACCTGGGGGCTGAGCCCACCCCCAAGCCCCAGCCTGAGCCCAAAGCACCAGTGGCAGCTAGGCCAGCACTTCCCAGAAAGCCAGCTGTCCCCCCCCGAGTGGGCCTGTCGGAGGCTGTGGTGGGGCAGCGGAAGCAGCAACAGATTCAAGCCATGGACGAGATGGACATCTTACAGTATATCCGGGACCACGATGCGCCCGGCCGGGCTGCCCCCAGCCTCTTCTGATGCCCACCCCCCCCCCCCCGGACTGGCCCTGGGCCGGCAGAGCCTCTCCCCGGAGCGATGTGGTGAGGTGGGCACTGTGCCCTGCAGGGCCAGGACCTCTGTTCCCAGGGGAGGGGGGTGGACGCCCAGGTCATAGGACCCCTGTACTGCCTTGGGTTTTTCTCTTGTCTTGTTTGCCTGTGGGATCATAGAACCCTGCAGGGCACAGAGAAAGAAGTCATCGTAGGAATTGGAGCCCGAATTATCTCAGCCACATGAGAGCATGTGGGGTGCCTTGCTAACCAGGAGCTCAGCCCCCAGGATGAAGTTGAGACTGCAGGGACCCTGTGATGCACTACTCAGGGCCCGGAAACTTTGTGTCCATTTGTGCCTACTGCACAATAGGGAGGGTCCACCCAGCCTAGGGAGTGGGGGCTGGAGTCCCTGGGCAGTGTGGCTCCTGGGGGCCTGTAAGATCCAAGAGGGTCCCCGGGGGACGGATGCTGAGTGGGTATCTGGGAGAGCCTGGTTGGGTGGAGTGTCCCTGAGCTGCCTCTGGTTATCAGGTGCTAAACAAGGTACTTTCTCATCTGTCCATCTTGAGGGAGACACGAGGCCCAGCCCTGCCTCTCTCGGGTGTGGACAGCCTGACAAGCCCCTGGTCTTCTTCCCTCCTTTCCCAGGGAATGCCTGGCCAGATCATGGTCTCCTGGAGTCTGGCCATATGGCCAGTGTCCACCCTTGCAGCTCTGAGCAGAGTGGTCAGAACGCTGCCTGGGCCTGCAGCTAGGCCTACTCGGGGGGGCCTAGGTGGATGCTCCTGGCTACTGCTTGGAGCACTTTGTCCAGAGGTGGGTGCTGCCAGGCCTTCCCTGGTCCCCAGATCTGGACATGCTCACCGGCCTCTCAGCAGTGGGGACCGTCTCTCCAGGGAGAAGGAGCCCTGTGCCAGAGCAGGGCCAGTGCCTTAGACTTCCCCTGGACCCCCCACGCCCCGGCACCCAGGTCAGGGCATGGCACAGTGCTCAGGAAATTCTCAGTGAACGATGTTTAATAGAGCAAAGAATATCTTTTTAAATTTATTCTTCACGTTCAGAACTAGTTTTTAATGAAACACGGTTTTTAGTGAAATGCAACCCTTGTTGTCCCTTGGCTTCTCCTGCTTGAAAGGACCCTGGAAGGGGGTTTGGAAGTAGGACCCCAGATGCTTTCCTGATCGGGAGCAACAGCAAACCCTGAGGGAGGCCCCCAACCAAGCTGGTTGTTGGCCACCATCAGAGTCTCTAGTACCCTGCTCCTGCCCCGTGCCCGGACCTGTAGGGCGTGGGAGCACCCCCTCTGCTCTGTCCTGCATCTCTTGTACCCCGGCACCCTCAGCAGCTGTCCAGTCTGAGGAGGCTGCCCTCCCCCAGCCTGGGCCAGAGGGGCGGGAAATAGGCAGTCGTGAGGTCTGAGAGCTGCACGCCTTCTTCTCTGCCTTACCCGGGCTCCAAGGCCTCTCTCCCCAGGGCCCTGCGCAGGCTCCAGGGCTCCTCGCACCTGCCACTGCACTTCCCCTTTCAGTGGCGGGCCTTGGCGCCTCCACCCCGCAAGGCCTGGAAAGCAGCGAGTGCTGAGGGGAGGGCTGCCTCTCTGTTCCACCACCACCACTCAGCGACTGTGACATCGGAGCAGGGGGCTCAGCTGCCAGGTGCGCGGAAGGGGTCATTCCAGTGTGGGTTCATCCACGCAGACTGGCCTCCTCCCTGGGGGCCTGGTGCTGCCTAGACACTTGAGTGAGGATGTGCACGTCCCCGGATAATGACGCTTGAACTGTGGCTGGTTCTCCACCGCGGGTCTGTGATCTCCTGGTGAGCCCATGACACCCAGTGATCCAATAAAGTTCATGTCAGTGACTCATTCCAGCATTTGTTAATGGTGGTTTTTCTGTGCCTGGGCTAATGGGGAATGTTGGGGAGGGTGGGGGAGTATCTTGTTAACAGTGGGCTCGGCAAGGGGAGCTGCCCTGGAAGGACCCTGGGGTCTGCCACGGCTCTACCCAGGCCCCCAGGCTGCTGCTCGGTAGGGTGAGATGAGCCTAGAGGGAGGATTCCACTGTGTAAACTGAGGCAGAGGGGCCAGAGGCCCAGGCCCTGCAGGAATCATAGGGTCAGTAACTGGCCGGCCAGGACGCTTGGAAACAGTCTGGAAAGAGGACCCTTCCCTTCTCCAGCCTTACCATCTCCTCATGGTGGGGACTGGCCTAGGCTTGGACTGGTCTTCGGCTCTTTAAGCTCCGACATCAAGTAAACCCATCCATCCATACACACACTTGTCCTGGCCTCCTCACCCGTGCTGGAGCTCAGAGTCCGAGATGCTGCTTTGTGCCAGGACCCCAGAGGTCCTGGGCAGATGGCTCTGCGGACTGACAGCCACTGGAGAACTAGAAATGGGTCCCCAGGAGCCAGCGAGGCCCCGAGCCGGGGTGGGCTGTGGGCCAACACTGGCCTCCTCCCACTGCTTGGCTTTGGCTCTTGTAGCCAAGCTCGAATTGGGGTCTTGGCTCCCAAGGACAAACAGTTGGTCTCTTCTGAGAAGGACCCCACAGCCACGAGCCGGCAGCTGAGAGCTCACCATACAAAGAAAACAGAGGTGGAACTGGGGGGCAGCGGCCTTTGGAAGCTGCTGGGAGCTCCGTGGGCAGGATGCACCATCTGTGGCCAGAGTCCCCTTCCCTCCCAGCACTGTTACTCTTGGGAAGCCAGGAACTCTAGTTCTGCTGGAAAGTCCCCCTCCTAGCTCCTGGCCTGGCCAGGCTGTGCAGTGGGGCTCCCTGGGGAGCGCCCACTCTTCTGAGCTCTGGTGCCCCGTGTTCACATCCGTGCAACTGTCTGGAACGTTCCTTCTCCTCCACGAGCTCTGGGCGGCTGCCCCAGAGCTCGAGTCCTCACACTGGATACAGACAAGAGAGCAAAAGTCCAGCCGCTTTTCAGGGCCCTCTGGCCTCAGTGCCCCACTGCCCCTTGGCACCGTGTTGATACACTCTGTGCAGAGATTAAACACCCAGCATTAGGCTTTGGTTTGCCTCCACCCCTGGGAAGTCCAGGGAGGCCTGGTGTGGGAAATCCTGCTCAGCCGTCCAGCTCCCCGGCCGTCTGGCTGAGCATATCCTGGGGAAGAGAGAAGGGCCCGGATGCCGGCCCCAACTGGGCAGCAGGCACCTCACAGTGCTGCTGGGGCTTTGCGTGGGTTGATGGCTGCCCAGAGCAGGCCTGGTCAACACCCAGAGCCTTTTTGAGTGGCTGACCTTTCAGTGTCAAGTTCTGGAGGGTACTATTCAGTGCAAACCCTGATCACTCCAAACCATTCCCCGTCAGCACCCTGAGGCCTCCCCGGTGGGGATCATTGACTGAAGGACCTTTGGAGAAACCAGCCGTCGGGCTTGGGGCATGGAAGGATCTAGGTTCCAGTCCAGCTGGGCTGTGTGACATCCTCTTACCTCACAGCCCACAGTGCCGTGTGAAGAGACTCCCCTGGGCTCTCGTAAAGGGGCCAGCGGGACTGTGACGTCCTACTTGTGCTGGAGGAGTTTCCGTGGGCTGGTCACACGCATCACAGGGGGACCCCCGCCCGGGACGAGCTGAACGCTGATGGGAAGCGGCCGGCTGTTGGATGGGCGGTCAGAAGGTGCCAGCAAGCTCAGCTCGGCCCGGCGTCCATCCTGGGCACTGAGCAGTCATTGCCAGGTGCTGAGCTATGGACAACGTGGTGAATAGAACGGCATGGTGAGCATAACCTGGAGGGCCGATGCTAATCCCGCTCCTGGCTGCCCTCGGGCTCTTGCTCTCCATGGCTCACACTCAGGATAAAAACCACAGCTTCTGGAGCGGCGATTATGGGCTGAGCCCGTAGCCGGGGTAAGCAGGGATCCCTCCTGACAACTTTCAGAGGTGCCAGTGCTTCTCTGCCAACTCAGCAGCTAGTAGCAGCCTCTAAATTGGTTTTTTAGTAAAGCTGAGTTAGCTCCCTCCCGCCCGACTGGCCAGTCATGCCATCGATCCAGGGCGAAGCAGAGGGAGGCCAGGACTAGGTAGGAGGCACAGCTCTGGGGCTCGGGGGACGCAGGGAACGGGATGCCACGAACATTTCCTGAGCACCCACGGGGTACTGTACCTTTCCCAGGCACGACAGGGGTCCCAAAGATGGAGAAACATGAACCGTTAAAGCTGGATCTGCCATGAGCCGTGCTGGGCCCCCAGTTTCAGTTCTGTTCCGTGGGCCTCCTGCCCAAACAGCAGACGCAGCTGAAGGAGGTTCCCCCCGCCCCGTGCAGTCTCTTACCCCGTCTCCCCTCCCCTCTGACACCTGCCCGCACAGAGTGTTGCGTGTGACCTGAGCCCAGCCTCCCGTCTGCTGTAACGAAGTACCAAAAACTGGATGACTTGAAGCAATAGGAACTCATTCTCTCCCTGTTCTGGAGTCCAGAAATCCGACATCAAGGTGTTGGCAGAGCCGCGCTCTCTCCTGAGGCTCCAGGGAGAATCCCTTCCTTGCCTCTTCCAGCTTCCTGTGTTGCTGGCACTCCTTGAACTTGCTCGGCTTTGTAACTGCGTCCCTGCCATCTCTGTCTCCATGTGGCCATCTCTTCTGTGTCTTCTCTGGGTTTGTGTCCAAATTCCCTCTTCTTGTAAGAATACCAGTCATTGGATTAGGACCTGGTATGATCTCATTTTACCTTAGTGACACCTGCAAAGCCCCGATTTCCAAAGAAGGTCCCATTTATGGGTGCAGGGGGACGTGAATTTTGGGAGGACGCTCTTCCACCCGGTATGGTTACTAAGGGCCTGGGACCTTCCGGCAGGCTGAAGTGATGATTTCTGCACCTCTACTGTCTGCTCCAGGGCCTGGCAAGGACCTTCTCTGAGGGCCCGTCGGCCATCTGGAACTTAACCATACAAGGTTTGGGAGACACTTACGATGGCGTCTGACAGCGGACGCAGCCTCTGTTGTCACTTGTAACCAGAGGTTAGTGTGTGACTTGT